TGACATTTAATACATGCACATCATTAAATACATGGGTGACTAGATGGTCCTATGGGTAGGGTTCGCCAGCTAACCTCCCGTGGATGATGAGAGTAGGCTAGCACACACCACACTGTCCCCACTATAGAGAGAGATTACAAGGTAGCGCTTGGACCCAAGACACCAATTATATAATGCTTAGGCAAAACAAGCTACCTAAATCTAAGAACAGAACAGTAGTGCAACCCGTAGATGAGATTAGTTGCCCAAAAGACTTGCGACACCAGAAATGAGTAAACTTCTCCTCCATACTCGGAGTGGGACCGTGACATTATAGCTTATTGTTATTCATTACATTTTTCTTGATAATGTTTTTTTTTTTTTTTACACAAAGCGAGCTTGGAGTAATACTTTTACGAGGCTCCAACTCATAAATTATATGAAAATCTTCATCAAAACTGATTTATTTTTAATAAATTCAATAAATATAAAGAGTAAACTGTTAGGACCGGGCTGACTCAATGACTCCAAAAAGACAGGTAAATTTTGGGCGAAATAAAACAAACCAAATTTAAACATAACATGCATTATACTTATATTATATCAAAATAAAGTGTATACAAAGTATTTAAAACACCACACAACAGTTAAAACACAAAATAAGGAACGATACAAAATATTTTAAAATAAAAAGGGTCGAAGGACGACGGATGAGGTCTGTCTACGACATCGACTCCAGAGTCCGCTCCCAACCTTGGCTAACTCCTTATAACCTAAAAAAATGGAGAATAAGGAATGAGTACAAAGACTCAATAAGCAGCCTACTTGTAGGCTCTTAATCGTGTCCTTCATATGTTAGGATACCACACTCTTTCTTTTCTGGTTCTTGTTCCTGTCGTAAGTACTTAGACCCTCTAGTTCTTGTTCTTATCTTGTGGATTCTTATCAAGTTCTATTATGAGAACCTTGATCCTTGGATTCTAAAACCTTGGATTTTCTCTAAGGGCCTTGTTACTATGGTTCTTGGTTCTTATGCTTAAAACTTAGATGTTGATCCATGTTCTAGTCCTTGATCTTTCACTTGTTCTTGGTTCTTTCTAGGTTCTTGTCCTGTTTCTTAATTCGTTCTCCAAGACACTTCCCTTAGGATTTACGGTACTAATCATAAACCTATCAACCTGTGTTCGAGGCTTTATGCGGTCCAAGTGACACAGTCTTAATACCTACGCTCAAAGCTTCATGCGTTCCAAGTAGTGTAGTCTAAGTCATGAGCATGATGTACCGTGGAAGGTCTTAGGAGGTTCTTGATTCTTGGCTAAGGTAACTTACTCTCTTCTTGTTCCATTGTGGCCCTAGATTACTCCCCATGATAGATCATAAAGGACACGTGATCGATGCATGCATGAACATGACATAGATTGTAAAGGTCATGTGATTGATGCATGCATGAACATAGCATAGACAATAAAGGTTTCGTGATGGGTGCATCCATGAACATGGCATCCTGCAAATCTTTGGGTACCCATAACATGGTGCAGAGCATCTCATCTAGGTGAGGAAAACATGAGGTCAAATATGGTGTAGGGCATCCCACCTAGAAGAGGAAACATGGCCTCTGAAAGCACTGCGTGGTGGGAGGTTATGAGCCATAATTGGATATGCTTAAAGTATTACCTAGCATTCTTGAGTTTCTGAGTCTGAGGACCTCGGTCTCTTATCCTTGAGTGGTACCTAACATTCTTCTTGCTTTGGTAGTTGTAGAGCTTGTTTGGTATTGTTCTTAGTTCTCAATCTTGTAAGTTCCTAAGGTTCATACTTCCTTGAGACATAAGTTGTCACATGCATTCGTAATCATATGAACCCATCATAATAACTAGCATAAGTTATTCTAAAAAGTCATAGATTCATAATGGATTCCTTAAAGGGTTCTAGAAGGGTCATGAATCTTGAGGGGTTTCCTTTAGGCTTTTCTTAAGTTCTATCTTGGTTTAGGTTCCAAACTTGCTCCAATCAACTTGAAATCTTGAACTTATCCTCGTGTCATATAAAATATGCCTTATAGAAGATAGTGTTAGGTTATGGAGCCTGATGCTTATTTATAACTTAGTCAACGATTATACATGATAAAGCTATATATGACAAATGACATATAAAGTAAATTGTCATAAATAGTAAATAGCTATGTATAGTAAAAAGCTATATACGTTAAAACTATATATGGTCGAAAGTTATATACAGTAGATGATTATATCTGGTAAAGCTATATATAGTAAGCTAAACCATATATATATAGCTTTGAAAATGTAGTTTCTGTACTCTCTCTTGTTGTACATATCTGAAGTCATCAATATAAATCCTTTTGTCAGAGTTCTCCTTGCATTTTCTCTATCATGTTCTTTGTGTTCATGTAGATCGAGTGTGTGAGTTGTAGTACGATCCTAACAACTGGTATTAGAGCTAGGCGGAAGTCACCACAATCTATGAAGATTGAAAGTTCAGAAGTCAGATACCATGACCACGAAACAGTGGAAGCTCAAGGATCGACAAGCCTTAGGGCTGATCCGATTGACGTTATCCAGAAACGTGGCATTTAACATCATCAAGGAGAAGACAATGTCAGATCTGATGAAGGCGCTGTCGAATATGTACGAAAAACCATCGGCTATGAACAAAGTGTATTTGATGCAAAGATTGTTCAATCTACAAATGTCTAAAGGTGGATCTGTTGTTGATCATATAAATGAATTCGATATGATCGTAAGTCAACTGAGTTCGGTGAAAATTAATTTCGAGGATGAAATTAAAGCATTGATTTTGATGTCATCTTTACCTGAGTCGTGGGATACTGTTGTTGCCGCAATCAGTAGTTCCCAAGGATCTAATAAACTAAAGTTTGATGAAATTCGAGATGTAATTCTCAGCGAAAGTATTCGCAAACGAGAAATTGGAAATTTATCTGGCAGTGCTCTTAGTGTTGACCAACGGGGGAGAAGTAAATCGAAGAGCCCAAACAAAGGACGATTAAAATCAAAGAATCGAGAAAAATCTCCAAATAGACCAAACGTAACGTGTTGGAATTGTGGAGAAAAAGGTTACTTTTGAACAGATTGTACAAGACCAAAGATGAAGCAGAATCACAAATCTGGAGATGATGATGATTCTATAAATTCCGTAGAAGACATTGGGGATGCTTTAATCCTCAGCGTGGATAGTTCGATTGAATCCTTTATTTTGGATTCAGGTGCATCTTTTCATTCGTCTCCAAATAAAGAATTGTTATGAAATTTCAAGTCTGGAAATTTTGAGAAGGTGTATCTTACCGACAACAAAGATTTGAAGATTAAAGGAAAATCAGTGAATATTAAAGGATGTCAGATATATTTCTGGTCTCAAGAAGAACCTGATCTCTATTGGTCAGTTGGACAGCACAGGTTATGCAACAAAGTTAGGGAAGAGTTCGTGGAAGATTATGAAAGGTGCTACGGTGGTAGCACGTGGCACAAAATTTGGAACCTTATACACCACTGCATGGTGTATGAACGTAGCTGTTGTTGCTGAAAGTGCTTCAAATTCAAGTCTATGGCACAATAGACTTGGACATATGAGCGTGAAAGAAATGAAGATGCTGGATGAGAAAGGAGTTTTAGAAGGTCTGAAATCTGTTGATGTGGGTCGTTGTGAGAACTGCGTTATGAGCAAGCAGAAATGAGTTAGCTTCATAAGGATGGCCAGAGAATTGAAGAAAGTGGGAGTTGAGCTTGAGTTGTAGGGAAACTCACCTAGTGATGTTGTAGCACATACTCATGAAACTCTTGAGACTACTGCTGAGGAACCAAATGTGGAGCAAGGTTCCAAGACCTCGAAGCAAGTGGTTGTTGAGCTTGAGTTGCAGGGAAACTCACTTAGTGATGTTGTAATAGATACTCATGAAACTCCTGAGACTACTGCTGAGGAACCAAATGTGAAGCAAGGTTCCAAGACAACGAAGTAAATGAGAGTTGAGGTTGAGTTGCGGAAAAAATCACCTAGTGATGTTGTAGCAGATATTCAAGAAACTCTTGAGACTGTTGCAGAGGAACCAACGGTAAAGCAAGTGACAATCTGAACCGGTCTTGAGAAGATTATCCAGTACTATCAGAGTACAAGATATGTATGTACCTTCATTACACTATGTGTTGCTAATGAAAGGGAACCAAAGCCCTTTGATAAGACCCTGCAGTTGGAGTATACAACCAAGTTGGGAGCAAGCGATGGATGATTAAGGTTGAGCAAATAAAGCTGCATCTTAAAACTATTTATAGGAGTTAAAACACTAATAAATTTCCTAAATTCTTCCCATTAGTCAACAACTACTAATTATTGTTCCAAATAAAAAAATTGTTAATTTTTTAAAACAAACTCAAATTAATAATTATTAACCATTATCCTAAAATTATTTCAAATTAATAACTTATTTTTCCAAGTCAAACGGTTGACTTGCTTAAACGACAAGAGAGTGATGAGAGAGAGAGAGAGAGAGAGAGAGAGGAGAAATTGGGAGAGAAATGGTGAATTGAAAGAGAGTGATAGAAATGTGACTGAAAAGACGGACGGCGACACCATTGATGAAACTCAAAAAAAAAACAAAATTAAAAGTTTTAAAAACTTATTAATAAACCATGAAATTTAAGGAAATAAATTTACGAAAATTGTGAAAATGGGTTAAATGGAAAAGGAACAGCCGCCATCCATCCGACCACGAGACCACCTAGGCACACCGCAGCAACCATAAAATGCATTTATTATCGACACAAATTAAACTTTTTTTTTATTTTTTTTTTATTTTTTATAAATATTTTCCTATAATTTTAAAATATGTATTTTTCAAGAAAGAAAGAAAATGCAATTATAATAAGAGCACGATAGCAAGAACTAAGGGGAACGCACGCGTCCCACTACGCAACATTCTTGCAATCAATTATTTATTTTTTTTTATTAAGGAAACAAAAATTCCAAAGTTGGGCAAAATCCAAAGCCCGTGACCGCGACTGCTACCGGACACTCTCTAAACTACATACAAACAAATTCCATTCTGCTCGTTTCCTTCTCCTCCTCCTTCTTCCATTTCTGATTCTTTGTGCTGTTTTCATTCCACCAAACTCCATAGCTACTCCTCTTCTATCTCCTTCCCAACTGGGTCTCTTTCCCCTTCTACCTTCCTTTTCGGGGACCCCAGTTAAATGGGTATTGGGTTGTTGTTCTTCCTCTTCTTCTTCTATTCAAGACCTTTCCCCTTTTCCAAACCTCCTCATATTCCTTGCTTTCCCTCTGAATATTCATCAAATTCACTACAAACTTCAGTTTCAAGTACAGAATTCTGAAAACCAAATTAGGGAATCGCCTTTTTTTCCCCCCCTTTGCTTTCATCTCTGCATGCTTCACGATTTTGGATCAAAATGATCAAGGCCTTCGCTTCTGTAATCTCTCTCACCTCTTTTTGTGCTTGTTTTGTTTAACCCTTTTGGCTTATGTCTGTTTATGTTGCTCTCGTTTCATGATTTGTCTCCGTCTTCGTTTTGTTTTTTCTTTTGGTGCTCTGTGCTGCTCTAACATTGTGCGGCTTCCCTTTTGAGATTTGGAATTTCAAGTTCATGGGTTGTGGTTATTTGCTAGGAAACAGAGGGAAATTGGCTGTTTGATTCATTTTTCAGAATAGCTTTTTTCAGATGGATTGTGGATAGTTCTCTGTCCCTTTACATGGCTCTATATCAAATAGAGAGCTCTTATCATTATGGTTTTTTGTTTACATAATTTGATTGTAATTGGTCTTTTTATAACTCGTTTTCCATGTTTCAGAGTTTCGTACCATCGGAGTCGAAGAATAGATTACGCCTCTGTACCTTCTTCATTGCCATATTACTTGGTGCTGGAGCTTATTTCATTGCAAGTGAATTCATTACAAAGGTAGAAATCAAAGCATATCTTTCTGAAGTTCCTATAGCTTCCTGTTGCATAGTGATGATAGTAGCAATATATCTTGGAGATTAAGTTTATGGGTTTGAAGTGTCCATGTTTATTCATGGCACTAAGGTTAAGTTGATCATCTTTGAAAATGAAGGATTCAAAGAATTGGCTTTCTGTACCGCTTACAAAATTTAGTATCCTGCATCCAAAGTATTGGCTTTGCAGTTTACTGTGCGCTCACTGTCTATGGTATTCATTGGTGGTATCCCTTATATTTCTTGAATTTAGGCCCTAGATTGCTTAGTGCTTAAGTGTGAGATCGAACGAAGCATTCTTTACAAGGGTGTGGAAACCTCTCCCTAGCAGACATGTTGTAATAATACCTTGAGGGGAAGCCCAAAAGGGAAAGCCCAAAGAGGACAATATCTGCAAGTGGTGGACTTTGACTGTTACATTAAGTACAATTCGAATTAACAATAGTCCTCAACTCTTACAAGAAGGGTTATGATGTATATGTGGTTGTTAAACTTCTTCCACTTGATATTTATTTGGGTTAATATTCATTGTATGAACTTCAAGCGTTCATCTTACTGGGTGTTATTATACCCAGCAGTATTTTTCTTGTGTAGATTGTAACCATGCTTGTCAGAACAGAGCATCATATATCATCGTGCATTCAAATCATATGTCGATACAATTCGTCACTCAAAATGACCGAAACGAGTCAATGATAGGATATTTGATAAACTTGCAGGAAATGTTTAGATGGGAGGCATTTTATCCTGCCCGAAATGTAAAGTCCAGCACGTGCAAGGTTTGTCTAGTAAAATCCCGAGTTCTTTTTATGGTTTCTCATTGTATTTGTTCTAGTTTGTTAGGTGTTATAAATCTCCTTTCTCTCGCCTCATCCTCCTTCCTACGTAGAATCGATGCAGACCTCCTGGGAGTGAGTCTTTGCCAGAAGGAATCATTACTAAAACATCTAACTTCGAATTTCATCCTCTATGGGGTTCAAGTGTACAAAATGTAAGTGATGCACCGATTGAAACGTTGCTCGCCTATACGCTGAATACAACGAATTTTTCTTTTTCAATAGAGTTTTCAGCTCATTTGAGTATAATTGAAAGTAAAAATTTCAGTTTTCATGATGTTTTAGTATATGATATTAGGTAACTACTTTCTTTGAATCGTGTACGTGGCTTGATACTCGACTATTTTACTTATATACAACTTAGCTAATGAATTCACGAAATCGCTAGATAAAAACTGCACATATTATGCGTTGCCCTTAAGTGACAATACTCTTTGTGCCAGAAAATGCTGAAGATGTCTAAGAACTTGTTAGCTATTGCTGTTGGGATCAAACAAAGACGTGTAGTGTCAAAAATTGTCGAAAAGGTTGTCATCTAAAGCCCTTATTCTTCACTACATCTTTTAGCAATCTGTTTGTTTTTGAGTATGTAGTTTTCATTCTCAGTTCCCTCGAGACGATTTTGACGTGATTCTTTTTCATTACGATGGTGTTGTGGATGAATGGAGGGATTTTGCATGGAGTTCTCGAGCACTACATGTCTCTGCATTGAATCAGACAAAATGGTAATGCTTATTTTACCCCAAGAGTTATCTGAAATTGCTGATCGTGTGTATCATTTGGACTCGAAGTTGCTTCTTTACTCTTTTAAATTCGAACCATAATTGGAATAAAACTGGCTTATGGCGTAGGTGGTTCGCCAAGCGTTTCTTGCATCCAGATATTGTTGCTGAATATAATTATATCTTTCTTTGGGATGAGGACCTTGGCGTCGAGAATTTTAACCCGAAACGGTAGGTATTATTTTCCTTTTCATGATTACGGAGTTCAAACCTGCAAATGCGTAGTTTATTGTTTATTTACCGCCTTTTTTTCCCCCACAAGAGCTTAGCTCAATTGGCATAAAGTACGTATTCTCAACCAAAAGATTAGAAATTCGTATCCCCCATCTTGCATATTGTTGAACTAGAAAAAACGCTTTTGATCATTGAACATATAAGTAATAAGTTAGCTCGTGGACTTTATTATGTAACAGTTTCGTCGTTGTACTCCAAAGTATCAATTCTTAGTATGTAACGACTTAGTTTTCTTTTCTTCATCTAAAACTGGGTCAGATATGTATCAATCCTCAAGGAGGAGGGGCTTGAGATATCACAACCAGCTCTCGATCCTGTTAAGTCCAAGGTGCACCAGCTGCTTACTGCACGCAAAACCGGATCGAAAGTACACAGGTTAGTTTTACATGTTTTTTTGTAACTGATGTGGGATCTCACATCTCCAATGGTTGAGTTTACTTGAATGGAATATCGATTTTGGGTGTTAGAGCTCCGTTAAACGCTATAACGATGTTTTTCGCACCAATTTTCTTAAATCTTCAAACAGAAGGTTTTATAATTTCAAGGGCAGTGGACGGTGCAACGCTAATAGCACGGCTCCTCCATGCACAGGGTAAAAAGATTATCGATTCTTTTGATCACGGACTTTTCTATTTTTTGATGTTGGATTCAAACTCAGGTTGTTAAATTGTGTATGTTAAATAAATTTGATGTAGATGGGTAGAAATGATGGCTCCTGTGTTCTCCAGGGCAGCATGGCGATGCACATGGTATATGATTCAGGTAACAACTACTATTGAAGTGAGATTCAAATTATACTTGTCAAAAGTAGGAATATAAACGATCGTAAAACTAGATTAGTTGTGAGATCCCACGTTAGTTGGGGAGGAGAACGAAACATTCTTTATAAGGGTGTGGAAACCTCTCCGTAGTAGACGCGTTTTAAAAACCTTGAGGGGAAGCTTGAAAGGGTAAGCCCAAAAGAGACATACTAGCGGTGGGTTTGGGCCGTTACAAATGGTATTAGAGCTAGACACTGGGCAATGTGCCAGCGAGGAGGCTGAGCCTTGAAGGGGGTGGACACGAGGTGATGTGCCAGAAGGACGCTGGGCCCGAAGGAGGGTAGATTGGGAGTCCCACATCGATTGGACAAGGGAACGAGTGCCAGCGAGGATGCTGGACCTCGAAGGGAGGTGGATTGTGAGATCTCACGTCGGTTGGGGAGGAGAACGAAGCATTCTTTATAAGGGTGTGGAAACCTCTTCCTAGCAGACGCGTTTTAAAAACCTTGAGGGAAAGTCCAAAGAGGACAATATCTATTAACGGTGGGCTTAGGCCGTTACATTAGTCTTCTGTTTATATTTAGTCCATTTTCTTACAATACAACAAAGTTTCAACTCACTCGTGATATCGATATTAAACGGATGTGTGAATACTGTGGTAATATTGTGATGGGGACAGAATTTTAATGCCAAAATACTTGGATATTGCTCTCTTTGCTTTACAGAATGACTTGATCCATGCATGGGGCTTAGATCGACAGCTTGGCTATTGTGCACAAGTAATTTCCATACTCCACCATTACTTTTGCTTTGCTAGTAAGCCACTAGTTTCTTGTAGAGTTTGTGATTATCGATTCTCTTTTAGGGTGACCGAACACAAAAAGTTGGCGTTGTCGATGCCGAATACATCGTTCATCTAGGTCTGCCCACGCTCGGTGCTTCCCATGACAATGTGGTAAAGTTTTGCAGTCACAATCCTATGAATTTACGACTTCAAACGGTCATTTGTTGCACTTCCTTTTCTATGAATTTACGACTTCAAACGGTCATTTTGTTCAATTCTTGCAGGAACCCAAAATGGATAATCGAGTTAAAGTAAGTTACTACGATCGATCCAAGTATTTATTTCCCGACTGGATCGTTCATTGTTTGTAATGTATCCTAATATGTGTAGGTGAGGATGCAATCTTCCTTAGAAATGCAGATCTTCAAGGAACGATGGACGGACGCTGCAAAGAAGGACAAGTGTTGGATCGACCGATATCGGTAGTTACCGAAATCGTTTAATGTTCATCTTAATGAATAAAACTGGAAGTGAAGGTGTTCCAGTCTTTCAGTAACAGAGCTCAAACACAGGCTGAGCATGCAGCTGCTTAGATAAGATTCTAGTTGTCTCACAACTTATACCCAACAAATTCAAATTAACCAAGAACGAGGCTTTTCATTGGATCAACTCACTTTCTTTTACTGTATACAAAATCATATCTTACATAACTTTTTTTTTTGGTTGGTTGTAAATGCATTATAGTCTTTCGAGAAAATTAAGGTTCGGAAATTTGGTGTTTGTAAAAGTTTCCATGTATTTTGAATAAATGTAAACTTTCTTTTACTTGGGATAATGATTTTTGGACATTTTTAGGGTAAATCTTGGTGTTCGTTAGCTCATGATTCGACGATTGGTGGAGTTTGGTTGTAGGACGGGGAGTGCACAGTGTCACAATTGCATTCTTCTTTTGGCAGCGGGACAATAATTGTGCGATATTTGTTCTAACTTAGTAAATAAGTTACATGTGAAAATCAAACTTTATGGACAATTTTGATGTAAGGTACGATCCTTAAATCACATTTTGAGAGAAAATGTTTTTATATAACATGAGTGAGAAAATAAGATGAAAACAGTTTGACGCACCGAGATCACAATATTTGATCGAAAAAAATAAAAATAAAATTGCAATTTCTTTGTTTAACTTATTTAATAGTATATTTAAAATTAATTTTATTAGATGGTTTATATAAAATTAATCGTAGATTAAAAGTTAACTTTATTACATAACAATTATAATGTGATTGTAATTCTTTTTCATTAACATTTATACATATATTATTTTTTCAATAGTTATAATTAATTATTTAATTGAAATTATTTGTAATCAATCAATTTATTTCTATTTGTTGAGATTAATTTTACTTAATTCATTCAATAATGTACCAAAATAATATTTTTAAGATTAATTTCATAAAACAAGCCTTAGCATCCATTATAAAATAAAATGTGAAAATATTAATTCATCATGTAATATAAATTTAATGAATTAATTACAAATTATTCATTTATGGTAAGAATAATTATTACCATTAATTATTCGGATGCACTACCATATATGTTATTACCATAAGAGGTTAAAATGCTTTAGAATATTCCATTTTTGTAACCTTCACCGTTTTAATAAGTAGCCAGCTTTAAAGTCATTTGACCTATATTTAGTTGTCATTTGATAGAATGATATTTGATTTTTAAAATATATGAAGCGATATGAACTAAGAAATCAATCATGCAATATACTTCAATAAAGATATGAAGAAAATGTCGTTGAAATTATCAAAAAAATATTTTAATTCATGTCACGTTCAAGAAGAATGAAACTATCCTAATTTAGAGTTATAGTGTTTTTTTTAAATATATTTCAAGGCTTATTTACATCGGAGTTAGTTATGGCCATAAAATATACCTAGTGGCTAATTAGGATCATAAAATATAATTACAACTCTTCTAGGTAAGGAGGTTTTTATTTTGAGGCTATATTAGAGTCATGTATGTCATCTTTGTAGGAGAGACTTGAAAAATGTAGTAAAAGAATCATTTGTACTTTCTTTTAGCCAATGATTACGTTCTTTGCAATTCTATATAGTTTAGGTTGCATGTAGCATCATTCAAGCTTGACATAATCAATCTTACTTGTGGAGTGATTCAAATCTCAAACAAGTGTTTTTGCCTTGAGATATTTGATCAACAAGAATCATTCAAGCTAGATATGATCGATTTTGCTTGTGGAGTGATTCGAATCTCAAACAAATGTTCTTGGCTTCGAGGTACTTGACCGACAAGGTAATCTAAATCTTACTCTCCTTGTGTTGATTCCATATCTTTGTTATGCAAGGTAAAGTTGACGTTTTTTTTAGCTATCAACTACATAAAAAAACCGTCAACTTTACACTATTTGTTGACATTGTTTACTAGGAACAATGAACCTTCGTAATGGGACAGTATTGTCTACTTTGAGGATAAGCTCTCATAATTTTACTTTTAGTTTCTTCAAATAATCTCATGTCAATGGAGTACTATCTCTCACTTATATACCTATGATCTTCCTTCTAATTAGTTAATGTGAGACTCCAACAATACTCAAGGATCCTCTTTTCGAACAAAATATATCATTAAGCCTCCCTTGAGGCCACCTTCTCTATAACCCCTCAAACAAAATACACCATTTGTTCGACACCTAAGTTACTATGACTATACTTTCGTGACTCACAACTTCTTTATTCGATACTTGAGGATTCTATTGACATGGCGAAATTATGATAGTGATATGGGTACATAAGTGAAGACACTATTTTTATTGGTATGAGGCCTTTTGAGAAAACGAGAGTTTACACTTAAGGTGAATAATATCATACCATTGTGGAGGTCTGTTGTTCCTACTATGGTATCAGAGTATAAGTTAATAACTACTAACCATTTTTCTAATTAACTTGGTGCACAAGTTGATAACGGCTAATAATTATGCTAAACTTGCTCCACCAATAACTTCATTTACTAAGCAAATCTTATTAACCCACATTCTCCCTCGTAAGCTTGACTTTACTTGAGATTCTTCGCTCCGAGAAACTCCTACATCTCTGCAAATTTAACCCTTGTTAGGGCCTTAGGGGAGTATTTGTACATTGCTCTCTAGTATCAGTTGTACTTGGTCTATGATCAACTCCATCTTAAAAAAAACAATTCAATTCTCCAACCTGCAATTTCTTCCATTCCTCTCTTATGGATAGAAACTTCATTATCAGAATTGCATCAGAATTGCATGTAGAAACTTCGTGTAAGGTACTCCTCTATTGTAAGGTATTCCTCTATCTTTCAACCCCGCTTTCCACTAATACAAGTTCTTTAGAATTTTTCGGGACACCATTCGTCTCAAGCAAGTTGGATGAACGGGTATTCAATAGAAAGGGCCTGAACAAGTTGGTAATTGTGCCTCTAGTCCTCTTTGGTTGACATGACAAGTTTGATGTCCTATTTTTCTTATGCTTTGGTGGCCTTCCTTTAGACCTCATTAGTCAAGATGTTAAGTCTAATGAAGCACATCAACTTATAGGTTGCTCTTCGCCAACTGAAATAACCTTCCGTTTCTTCTTAACTCTGTTTTTCAATATCTTCTTCTCCCAATTCACTAGTTTCTTCTTCCCTTTCTTGCTGCTAATGCCAAATGAGGCTTTTGAAAAATGTTAATAGTCTTTCATTAGTATCTTATACAGAGAGTTTTGCGACGGTTTTACTTTCATCAACAAGGCTCTGTTTCTATCGAACATCTTAAGGAATCACCCGGCTAACTTTACTCTTGTGCCTTCTTTTGTCATTTTACCAAGACTACTAATATTACTCTTCAAGCTTGGGATGAAATATACCTTAGTCAATAGATGTTGATCTCTATTCTTGCATCAGAATAAGATGAATTTTTTTTCTTGGTTTGGTACAATTGATTGGTTGCCAAACTTCATATTTTTAATGAGCTTCTCATCAAGCTTCTTGAATTTTACTTGATCTTCGGTCATGTGGTTGCTTCGTCTATTGTCTAGGTATCACATATTTGTCTCCACTCGATCTTCTCCATTTGCGAGGAGGTTCACCATAACCTTCTCTTCATTGAGCATCAAGAGGTTAGGCATCTTCTCGACCAACATTAGTGCAGGCTCTTTGTCATGCATGAATGTGAGGTTTGCCTCTTCATTGTGTTCCTTGTTCCACCACCCGACCATATAATGCCCGTATTTTTCAAGAGTAATACTTGATCATACATTGCTCTTCCAGGAGTTGACATCGTCATGAGTTTGTGAGATATTGTCACGACTTTCTCTGTGGCCACGCCCACGACCTCTACTTTCCTTATTGTTGTTGCCACATCCCTTCATAACTGAAAAAGAAAAATCAGTCGCATCTTTCTTTTTCGTCCACGTGAGCCAGTCTTCGTATGTGAGTAAGAGGTATTTCTCCTCCTCTTTTTCGTCGTTGTCACGAAGTCTCTCCTCAACCTTAATTTCAACTTTCCCAGTTCCTTCTAAATGGCTTGCTTTCTTCTTTTAACTAGATTGATACTTTCATCAATTTAATGTATTACTTTGACCTCCAAGGCTCGAGTTTCTGACCATTGACCTCTTTGCTTGTATAACCTCAAAACTTCAATTCAGTGAAATTCATCCCCAATAAAGAAGTTATTTCCTCCCATTTCTTTGTACAACCTCGATTGCCAAAGTAGAAGAAATTGGTCCTATTACACTATTGAAACATATTCGTATAGGGGTATTGGGTTGATTAATATGGGTACAGATCTAGTTGGTTTGGAAACAATTCATATACTTTAATCCTCTTAAACCATCCATGCCGTTTTATATCAATTCATGGTTTTAGAACAGTAAGTCATATCTTAAAAAGTATCATACCATAGTCCATCTTCATAAAAGCTTATAAAATTTGGAACATAATCGTAACACTTCATCCAAACTATGTCAAGATTTTATGGTGTTAACTCGTAAATTTTGAATTTGTTAAGCCCAGATCACCATTTTTCATGTTCAAACCAACTACTTTAATTTTATATTTACCTACCTCATATCGATGAAATTCCAACTCATTCACTAATATACATTGGTACATTTTTTTATATTCTGTGGTCATAACTACATCATTTAACTATATTTTGGTACTGCAGACGTAAATATCTAACCTTCCTTAGAAAAATCCTTTTCATGTGTATACTAGTGATAAGTAGCTTACTCCTTTCTACGAAACTCTAACTCGACGATCATAGTGCAAATCTTGCTAAATAAAAACATTTTTTGAATCATCAATACACATGTAACATTCACATTTCAGGCATAGTATATCATAACACATAACAACATCATTTATTATCTTTTAGGGAATTATTGACAAGGATGTAATGTTCCATCTAAGGCAATAGAAACATTTTCAGTTCATTTTGTAGGCTAGTCTATAGAATCTATAAACGTAGAGCTCTATTATCAATTATAACAACCCTAGCTTTTATTTAAAATAATATGGCTACTACATGTGTGTCATGACTATTTTGTGAAAAAAAATAAATTGTCATAAACTTAAATATTCATAAATACATTTCAAACCTAATAAAACATCCTAAAAATAACGTAGGTAACCAAGAAAAACAACCTTTTCTATAAAAGTTTAGAAATAAAATGTTGTTGACCTATCTTATTATAAAGACTCCACTTAAATACAAAAATCTAACTTTAGTGACTTGATCCATGGCGCTCAGCTGACGTCATCATCTGTACATGGGGCCCGTCTTTAACTAAAAAAAAA